AAAAAAAAAAAAAAAAAAAAAAAAAAAAAAAAAAAAGAAATAAAGGTGGCCAATGAGTGAAGGCAAAAGATAAAAAATAAAGACTCAAACAAATCCAGAAAAAGAAAAGAAAGATAAACAGACAAAGCAGGACAAAAAGAAAGCACTAAGTAAGAAGGTGGAAATAAACCCAAATATGGCCAGGTGTGGTGGCTCACGCCTGTAATCCCAGCACTTTGGAAGACCAAGGCGAGTGGATCACTTGAGGTCAGGAGTTCGAGACCAGCCTGGCCAACATGGTGAAATCAAACAGCTACTAAAAATACAAAATTAGCTGGGCATGGTAGCATGCACCTGTAATCCCAGCTACCTGGGAGGCTGAGGCTGGAGAATCACTTGAAACTGGAGGTGGAGGTTACAGTGAGCTGAGATCGCACCACTGTACCGCAGCTTGGCAACAATGAGAGATTCTCCATTAAAAAAAAAAAAAAAAAAACACCGCAACAAACAACCCAAATATATCGGCAATCACAATAAATGCAATTGGTCCAGAATGCACTGGTTAAAAGACAAATATTTTTGGCCAGGTGCGGAGGCTTACACCTGTAATCCCAGCACTTTGGGAGGCTGAGGCAGATGGATCACAAGGTCAGGAGACTGAGACCATCCTGGTCAACATGGTGAAACCCTGTCTCTACTAAAAATACAAAAAAATTAGCTGGGCGTGATGGCGCACACCTGTAGTCCCAGCTACTCAGGAGGCTGAGGCAGGAGAACTGCTTGAACCCAGGAGGCGGAGGCTGCAGTGAGCCAAGATTGTGCCACTGCACTACAGTCTGGGCGACAGAGGGAGACTCTGTCTCAAAAAAAAAGACAAACTTTTAAAACTGGATTAAAAAGATAATCTAGCAATAATTACAAGAGAGCATCCAAAACAAAAAGTCACAAGACAGTTAAAAGAATTGGAAAAGACATACACCTCCGAAAAAGCTGGTATAGCTATATTAATGTTAAGCAAAATAAATTATAAGGTATTATTAAAGATAAGAAGGATTACTGCATAATGATAAAGGGTCAACTTACTAGGAAGATATCAAGACTTAAAACGTGTATGCATCTAATAACATAATTTCAAAAATACATAAGATTGGCTAAACTATCAGAAATAAGCCCACCATTATAAAAGGAGACTTTTGTCTCATTTCTCTCAGTATTCATAGATCAAACAAACAAAAATTAACAAGGACACAAAAGAGGTGAACACAATCACTAATAAGTTCAATCTAATGACTTCTGTAGAACCCTGTGTAACATTAGCAAATACACAAGAAATCTCAGGCATATAGGAAATACTTATGAAAATCGAGCAAGCACCAGACTATTAAAGCAGTTCCAGCAAGCATGAAAGAATCATAAACACAATGCAATTAAGTTAGAAATCAATATCAAAAAGAGAAATTAAAAACTCTGTAAGTTTGCAAATAAAATACCCACTTCTAAATAACTCAAGGGTAAAAGAAGAAATCATAACACTGGAAAATATTTCTGAACAATAATGAAAATACTACATCATTATTGAGCAATAAAGGAGGAATGAACTACTGATCCATGCCACAATATGGAAGAACCTCCAAAGTATTAAGTGAAAGAAGCCAAACACAAAAGACCACATATTCTATGACACTAATTATATGAAATGTAACCTTTTACAAGATTAAAAATAAAAAACAAAACTCCCCTTTTTTATTTTTCCTTCTTCCCCACCCCCCAGACTATATAATTATACAGAGTGAAAGCCTGGGAGTATTTACAGGTAAATTATTAGAGTTAATAAGAATTTTGGCCAGGTGTGGTGGCTTATGCCTATAATCCCAGCACTTTGGGAGGCTGAGGCAGGTGAATCACCTGAGGTCAGAAGTTCAAGATCAGCCTGGCAAACAAGGTGAAACCCCATCTCTACTAAAAATACAAACATTAGCCGGGCACAGTGGTGCACACCTATAATCCCAGCTACTAGGGAGGCTGAGGCAGGAGAATTGCTTGAACATGGGAGGCAGAAGCTGCAGTGAGCTGAGATCACGCCACTGTACTCCAGCCTGCACAACAAAGTGAGACTTCCTCACACACAGACACACACACACACACAAAATAATTCAGTGAAGTTGATAGTTATAAATACAATAGAAACAAATAAACGGTATGTCTATACTCCAGACATAAAGTTAGGAAACATAATTTCTAAAAACATGCTATCTCCTCTAAATATACATCATGTTGACAATATGATCAGAGGGAAAAGTAACTAATTGAATTATTTTTTAAACACAGTACTCTGACTGTATACGTTTAATAGAATGTATTGTAAGAATAACAGGAACTACAAAGCTACCCTGAACTTTACTCAGAAAGTTGGTTGTAGTATGGGCATACAATCTGGGAACTATTTTGCATACTCTATGGTTTAGAGAAAGGCACCAGAAACAGTAAGAGTGAGAGGTGGGGGAGGGGAAAATTCCCCTTTACAGAAAAATGCCAGTTAATAAAATAGAGAAGGAATGACAAAATTAGAAAGTCATCACTTTACAACTACCAGTGTGATAACCAATTCAAGTGAGGATTATCAATGGATGCTAAAATCATTGGATGGAAATTCAAAAAAAAAAAAAAAAAATTAGGCCAGGTAAAGTGGCTCAAGCCTGTAATCCCAGCACTTTGGGAGGCCAAGGTGGGTGGATCATGAGGTCAGGAGTTTGAGACTAGCCTGGCCAAGATGGTGAAATCCTGTCTCTACCAAAAATACAAAAAATTAGCCTGGTGTTGTGGCGCATGCCTGTAATCCTAGCTACTCGGGAGGCTGAGATGGAGAATTGCTTAAATCCGGGAGGCAGAGGTTGCAGTGAGATCGCACCACTGCACTCCAGCCTGGGTGACAGAGGGATACTCCATCTCAAAAAGAGAAACAAAATTACTAGATGGAAGGTAGCTGAGGAACAGGACAGCCAAGGAGTCTCAAACTGCCACCCCACAGATTACTCACTAATGGCAAACGAAAACAGATAACCTTGCAATGGAGAGATCGGATAAACACTCACTTGGCCACAGGCTCACACTGAAGATCAACAGTAATGGCACCAACTGGCGGCAGTATGAGATCCAGTAAAAAGCATGAACTTCACCTGTGGAGTATTTTCACTAAAAATGTTATGACTTAAATCTTACCATGAAGGAGCAATCAGAAATCCAGGCTAGTTTTGTATTTGTGGGGCATCTTCAAATGGACTGAACTCTAGGCTACTGAGAATGACAATGCTATTCCTCTCCCAGGCCATTCACCTTTTAGCCATGTTTTGTTTTTTTTCTTGAGAGAGTCTTGCTCTGTCCTTCAAACTGGAGTGCAGGGGCACAATCTCAGCTCACTGCAAACTCCACCTCCCGAGTTCAAGCAATTCTCCTCTCTCAGCCTCCCAAGTAGCTGGGATTATAAGCGTGCACCACGAAGCACAGCTAATTTTTATGTTTTTAGTAGAGACAAGGTTTTACCATGTTGGCCAGGCTGGTCTCGAACTCCTGACCTCAGGTGATCCACCTGCCTCGGCCCCCAAAAGTGCTGGGATTACAGGTGTGAGCCACCATGCCCCGGCCCTTTTATTCATGTTAAGCAGATAAGCCAGGACAATGGAGTGAGCCAATCGTACACTTACATAAATGAGTTAAGGGGAGGAAGGCATTAGGCTCAAGAGCACACAGAATGCATGATTAAGAAGCTGAAGCACAGATGGATCTGTGCATGTGTGGTACAGAGCAGCAACAAGAAGGACTGGGGTTTGAGGTACTTACTTCCCGGATGGCTCCATCACAGACCCGAATGACATTAAGGAACGTGGGCATGACCTGGGGCAGGAACTGCACACATTTGAGTCCCAGGGACTTGAAGATGAAGGTGATAGCCTGGACAACCATGGTGTGATGGTGAGAGAGTGACTGGTCTCGGAAGATCCGCATCAGGGCCACCATGGACACGGCTGGGTAGAACTCATCCAGAGGTAGGTTTCCCATGTTGACCAGCATTTCACTAGTGCTATAGTCAGCTAGGACAAAACAACACAGAGCATTAGAGCTACACATGGCACAACGTGACTTTAGGCAGAGCATGGTTACTAACAAACAACCTCCTAACAGACATTAGCATTCATATCTTTCTTCCTAGTATGTTCTAACACTGTTGGGAATTCAAGGTCGATTAGGAACCAATGAATAGCCTCTTACCATGAAGGACTAAACAGTTTTTGGCTTTTCTATTACTCAAACCACAAAAGCCTAAAACAGTACACGATGGATTGGTTTTCTTTAAATTGCTCTGTTTAATTTAGCTTCTTACTGTTCACAACTTCATAGCTGAAGCCATCAATAAAAATAATTACTCCCCCAAAATAAAGTCAAGGGAATTAAATTAGGCAAACATCTGTTCAGCAGCTGCTTGGTCCCCCTGGGGAGCTCAGACAAGTTGGTAGGCCAATACTACCTACCTGACTTGAACGAGGACCTCAAGGACTCTGACGATGGGGGAGGGGGCAGCAGCAAGGGAGGGAGTATACTAACATGAACAGTGCAGCCAGGAGGGTAAGAACTAAAGAGATGAAGAGCTGGGCTGACTGGTGCCATGAATAAGGAAGAATACCAGGGCTCAGGCCCTGCTCTCAACAGCTATGGGTCTGACAGAATGACAACACAGGCATCCCTCTCTAATACACAGAAAAGGAAGAAATTTGAAGCGATATGATCCCATCTACAGAGTTTAGAAACAATTTATTTTGGGGTAATAACATTTTCCTGGAAGAGTTGGGAGAGCCAATATTAACTTTCAATGTCAGAAATAGGCCTGCCCTGAAGGTATATGGGTTAAGCCTAGAAAACTGTCCCGCAATGCCATACCCTACCCCCATTCACTCAGGCTACTTGTCAAAAGGCAATGGCCTCTACAAAAATTATCCAGGTGTGGTGGCACACGCCTGTAGTCCCAGCTACTTAGGGAGTTGAAGGAGGAGAATCGCTCGAGCCCAGAAAGTCAACGCTACAGTGAGCTGAGATCACACCACTGTACTTCAGCCTGAGTGACAAAATGAGACTGTCTCCAAAAATATAAAACAAAGTAAAAACAATAAAAGGCAATGGACAACAGATCACCAGAAATTACTCCACCTATCTAACTGGAACCTTGCACTCACTGACCAACCTCTCCCTATTCCCACTCCCTGTGTCAATTAAAAATAAAATAAAACTTAAAGAAAAAAAAAAGGGGTCCAGGGGCAGTGGCTCATGCCTGTTGTAATCCCAGCACTTTGGGAAGCTGAGGCGGGCAGATTACTTGAGGTTAGGAGTTTGAGACCAGCCAGGTCAACATGGCAAAACCCCATCCCTACTAAAAATAAAAAAATTAGCTGAGTGTGGTGGTGCACACCTGTAGTCCCAGCTACTTGGGAAGCTGAGACAGGAGAATCACTTGACCCTGGAAGGCAGAGGTTGCAGTGTTGTATTCCAGCCTGGGTAACAGAATAAGACTCT